TACAGAGATATAAATTTTTGAATCTTGCGTGGGCTTTTAAGGTGGTTTTATAAGTATTGATTTGTATTAGAATTATTTATTTGTGTTTTTTGTACTAAAATTGTATTGTTTATATTTTTTATATTTAACATAAGGTCTTAGAAATTTTGTGAAAAATGTACAAGATTTTATGTTAAATATATATTGGGATATAAAATTTAAACTTAATAAATTTAAAATGTAATTTGTGTAATAAGCTAAAAATTTAATATAAAATTTATAATTCCCATTTTTTGTGTCTATTCCATTTATTTCCAGGAATAAATTTACCCCACACCGTTACATTTGCTAATAATAAAATTAATGCGAAAAACTTGAATTTTATATTTTATCGCCGAAATTTGTGTGTTGTGTAAATTCCTTTATACTCTGTAAATAATCCCATTTAGGGATTAAATGTTTTTCTAGGTAATAAAATTATTTATTAGACATAATCTCTTTACCTTAAAGAAATTGGATTATGACCTTAAAAGGTAAAAGGTACCAGAAAGATGAGGTACCGTTATTCTTCAGGTTATAAAAGAAAATTTGTTACAGGTTTCTTGTCGATGAGCATTGAAGTCACCGGGAGCAAAAAATTTAAAATAAATAGTTGTAAGTGAAATTTTGTCTTGAGATTATTTTTCGATATGTGTAAATAAAACCCTTAATCAATAAAAATTTTCTCACAGCACCCCATATGAGCTTCAACGCTTTGGTTCAAATTTATATTTATTACGTAATAATTTAATTAAATTTAATAATAATAATATATACCATTAGAAAGCTGATAAAATTATCTATAATTGTGTATATAACAGTTTGAAACTTTTAGAACAAACTTGTGTGGAAAAAAATGTACAAACTTTGAATTGCCAAAATGTAACATTTTTAAACTAAGACGTTTGTACTTGGTTACATTTTTAAAAATTAATTTCTCAAAAAATATAAGTATATATATATATATATATATATATATATATATATATATATATATATTACTCGAATTATAATCATACAACCACGTACTACATTTTGAAAAAAAAATCTACAAATAAAATACTATTTTATACTATTTTGCTCAAACTACTTTTTTCAAAACCACTATTCGTGCAACATGCATAAAGAATTATTTTTTTAAAAAAATCTCGCACTTGACAGTACTAAAACAAATAATTTTTTTTTTTAAATATAAATAAAGTATAAAAAACTATTTAATATAATTAGTTATAATATTATTTTAATATTTTTACCGATTTCGGTGGTTGCAAGATCTAGTAGTGTGGCTTCAGCAACTGAGAGCAAAATAGAAAAATAGTGTTTTTAGTTACAAAGTTATTAAAAAAGTCATAAGTTTGTTAGAAAGTAATTTGAAAAAATGGTAAATTTCAGTAATTTATATACAAGGCTAATATTTAACCTAATTTACGATTACTAATATTTAAAATTTTGGGGAAAATTAAAATTGAATTTGGGTTACGAAATTTGATTTTGGTACTAAAATAATGCAAAGAAAAATAATACTTGGGGTGACAAATTTGTTTTAAAAAACATTAATTAAAAATTGTTTATGTTGATAAATATATATGAACTTTGTTATTATTTGTAACTAGGAATTGTTCACAATCAAATTGTGAATTTCGCTGAATTTTAAATATTCAGGAAATATATAATAAAAATAATTTATTTTAAGTTCAGAAATTTCTGTTATTAATTTGGTTAGTTTTACGTTTCCCAAATATTTTTTTTATTTATTAATTTATTACTTCAGATGACAAATTAGTTGTTTGAGTACATATGCTTTAAAATCTGTCATTTTTACAGACTTCGTAAAATTTATAAACTGCCACACACAAATATCATATAACAATTTAGTTCGTACTATAAACTTTATGGCGATTGTAATAATAATTAATTTGTTTATATATTTGTATTGGATTATATATATAGATATACACAAAGTATATATATATATATATATATATATATATATATATATATATATAAATATACAATATATATTTTTACTTGTATTAAATATTTTTTAGATTTGTTTTGTGATACAATTTGTCTATGTGTTATGTACTATATGTAATAAATTGTATTTTTCTTGAATTTTAGCAAGAGAATGTACTATTTTTTTTATTTTATATGTTTTTTGAGATATTAAAGAATATTGTGTAGAATTTGTAGCATTTTAGAATACTTGACATAACCTGAGGACCCCTTCAAAATTTATGAAACAAAATATTGGAGCTATATATAGTAACTAATGTACCATAGAGCAAAAGTTGCATGTTTATTAAATTTTTGCAAGAACAAGTATCAATTTTTTTATTTTATATTTCAGTAAACATATTAAAAAATATTGTGTGAAATTTAGAGACATGTGGTATAAAAAATGCGACCGGAGGAGCTCTTCAAAATATACAAAATCAAATTTAATTCGTGAGACATACTATGAAATATGCAAGTAAAAGTTATTTAAAACTAATTTTTGCAAGAATATATGAATGTTTTAAAATTTTATACATTAGTAGATATATTAAAGAATATTGTGTAAATGTATAGCCTTGTAGTATACAAAATGCGACCTGAAGAGCTCTTCAAACTTTGCCAAACCAAAATCATCTTTTATTCATGAGATTTAGTATGAGTTAATGCCACTTTTTTTTTAAATTTTTTTACTATTTTTTTTGCAAGAACATATGTATTTTTTTTTTCTATATTTTAATAGACATATTGAAGAATATTATACAACATTTTTAGTACCTTAACTTGAGATATACGACCTGAAGAGCCTTTCAAACTTCAAACTTCAAATTTTTGCCATTACTTTCAAATTTTGTTAAAAAAATCAATATTTTTAAATTCTGTTATAAAAGTTATTACTTTTAGTATTTATTATTTTATTATATATAATTACACATGACATTTTTGGGCTAATACACCCTGACAAGCTCATCAAAATTAATAAAATAAATTTCAAGTATAGTTTACACTTTATAACGTTTCTTGTTATAAATTATAACACTAAAAAATGAGTTATTATTATTAGACTAAAATACTTTAATCCAAATTTTGGCTCTTGTTTTTAAATTTGTATATAAAATTGGTTGATTTTAGTATTTTTTTATATTAACAGAGCATTCAAAAATTGATTAATATTTTAATTATTTTATTTAAATTTTATACAAATTTTATTTTGTATGAAGTATCATAAAAAAATATATCAATTATGATTCATGGAATTTTCAAATTAATTTTTAAATTCAAAGACTAATTAAAATAATATTTTTTACCTATTATTTTAAATATGTCTTTCCAAGTTGTCTCCGAAAAGTTTTGAACAAATATTTAGTACAAGTATTTGTTTAAAAAAATATTAAAAGAATAAAGCAATTTCACAAGAATGTGAAATGTGGACGATACGAAAATATTTGACGTTCATTTTCAAAAGTGTGAATTCGTTATACAAATATATATATATATATACAAAAATTTATAAAAAAAATCTAAAATCCATACTATTTATGTTAACAAAAGATCACATCGCAATCTTAGGTTTATATAAGTCATATGAAATTCTTTGTTAATTAATGTGAATGAATGTGAAATTTTTTGTTAATTATAAAGAAACGGCTTAACCGATCTTAGCACAAAATTAACTAGTATATATCCTTATCGAAGTACATTGAATGGCATTTAAATTTTTGAAATCGGTTCAGCCGTTTTGAAGAAAATCGCGTTTCAAAAATACTCTTTCGAAACGTTCAATCAAGTTTCGAATTCGGTTCAAAATTTTTGACGGCGAACAATAGTGCTCTTTCTGTTAATTCTGAAGAAATGGCTTGACAGATCATTGTACAAAATTAATCAATGTGAGTCCTTATCGAGTTATATCTAATGGTTTTTCAATTTTTGAAATCGGTTCAGCCGTTTTGCAAAAAACTTCGACGAAAAGTCAAACTTTATCACTTACATTTATTTATTTTTGTCATTAGTGTCAAACGATTCTGAATGACTTGAAACGTCGAAAAAGCAGAAAATTAGTAGTTTGGAGTTTCTGACAAAAACGTAAACTATAGTTTAGAAAATTAAAAAAAACATGTGTCAAAAAATCACACTTAAAATTAATTAAAACAGTTATTTAATTTTCAAAATCGATGTAGGATTTTTAGCGAAAAAGTTGACAGCTAATTTCGTACTTTCTTGTAAATTATGATGAAACGGCTCGACCGATCTTTGCAAAAAACTAACAGATACGAGTCCTTATCAAGTTACATGAGATGGTTTTTGAATTTTTGAAATCGGTTCAGCCGTTTTTGAGAAAACACTGGGCAAAGATCAAATTAACCCATACACAAATTTGTTTTTGGTGTTGGCGTCAAACGATTCTGAACGACTTAGAATGTCAAGAATGCAAATAATTGGTAAATCGGATTTTCTGGTGACAACATAAATTCCTCAGAAAGAAAAAAAATATGTCAAAAAATCAACTTGACAGTAATTTTCCAAAACAATTTAAGAATTCAGGTACAAATTACAATTTTGATTCAAGATTTTTATCAATTTTGGTGTCAAACGATTCAGAATGACTTGAAACGTCAAAAAAAAGCAAAAAATTAAAGTCGAATTTGGCAAAAACGTTCAAGACCTTCTTTCAAAAAGTTTAAAAAATTATATGTCTAAAAATGCCGCTTGATGGCAGAATGTCAAAATTTGGTTAACAAACAAATATTTCTGTCAATTTTGGTGTCAAACGATTCAGAATAACTTTAAACGTCGGAAAAGCACAAAATTAGCAAGTCAAAATATAAACTTCTACTCCAGGAAGTTTACAAAGTTATGTTCAATAAATTACTATATAAATAACTTATTCAATTAAAAAATAAATATAAAATGCATGTAGGGATGCGAAAGCCCAGTGGTCCAAACTTTCATTTTTCGACTAAATACTATATAAAAAATATTCTTATTACCTGGATTAGGTTGACTCTGATACGACGGCTTCTTCATCCACTCATAAGGACTTCTAACCAAAGCGCCCCTGTTGGCACCGCCGGCGCCTCCACCGGGAACCTCCAACCGACCACCAGAACCAGGTTTCTCGTCAACATCTCCATTAGTACCTCCACCGGGCGAAGAAATCTCACTACCACCACTCACTGTAATCGGAGGCGACGGGACAATATTACCACCATTTAGGGGCAAAGACGAACCACCAGCCAAATTCTGCTGCTCCGCGAAATGGAAATCGGAGCCCCAATTTTGGGGCTGTTGTTGTTGATACAAATTATGATACAGGTTTGTAAAATTTTGTTGCTCACTCGAAGAATTCACCCCGGATTCGTGTAAACAATTCGGTAGGTACTGGGCTTGGTGGTGCTGGTATTGGTACAGTTGTTGGTTTGAGGAGTTGACACCGTATGGGGGATGGTGGTACCATGGTGACGGTGGTGAATGGTGGTGTGGCATTGTGTGGTGACCTGTTGCCATCATGTGGTGGCCCATGTGGTGCCCTGTGGCGGTCTGGTGGTACGTGGAACCGACACCGGGGGATGAAGTCGCGCTGCCGGTTGAGGGCGGTTTTTGATACATGCCTAGGGCTGTGTGGTATGATACCATGGTAAAAGATTCACACAAGGGGTAAAGGATTGAGAAACACTTATGAGGCACTAAAGTCAATTTATCATGGTAAAGTTAATCCTTTAATTCAATCACTATATGTTACACTTTGTCCTTAACATTATCCTTTATCCCTTATCCTTTATACTTTATCCTTTAACCCTTATCCTTAACCACTTTTCACAATTTCACTAAAATTCTATTCAATTCCGAATTAATATTCTATTTAATTCCGAATTAATATTAATTAATATTCTATTTAATTCCGAATTCTATTTAATTCCATAACGTCCGAACACTTCGACCATTTGTCTCCGTATGTAAGTAATCTTATCACTGTCAACTTACGTTTCGGAGCATGTGTGCCATCTCGCTCGCTCACGACAATGGGTGTCCTCTGACCAATGGCGGCGCGAATTGAGGGCTAATGGCCGCCGAAGCGGAGCGTCTATTGGCCGCGGTTCGACCAATGAAGAACGCGAGTCCGTGGAAAGTGGGTGTAGCACGATTGATTTTAATTGTAATAGATGGGTAATGGGTTTTGGGTGGGTTTTGTATGGAAAAATGAAAAAATGTTAAAATTGATGAATTGGTAATTAGAGCGTTTGGGTTGGCTTTTGTTTATAACTTTGATGTATGTTAAATAGAGTAAATTTTAGGTTAAGTCTAGTATTATTTATTTGTTGTACGTTTTGACACACATGTGTGCCATCAACATTTTAAGAAAAACATGAAAAACAATTTTTTTGTAATATTAGGCAACGGCAAAAACACTATAAACTAATTTTTAATTAACTAATTATGATATTTAAAAATTTTTTATACGTTTCGACGCACATTTGTGCCTTTAAAAATAAACATGTTAAAACACATATGTGATTTTGAGTAATAGCGAGAACAAAAAATAAACACTAAAATTGAAATATTTTTTTTCAAATTATAATTATTAAAATACCTTGGAAATTCGAGGGGCGGGGGTGGGTATTATATTATTAGTATTTTATTTAGCATAATTTATGTTTAAACATTTTTTGTACGTTTTTGTGTCATCATTTTATGAATAAAAACACATTTTTTGTAATTTTATAAAACAGTGAGCACAAAACACAATAAAATAGTTTCGAAAACATTACGAATTTAAACAATTTTTTGTACGTTTTGGCACATGTTTGTCATCAATATTGAAAAAAAAAAACTAAAAATGGGGAAAACAAAACATAATCAAAGAATAAAAAATGCAAATAGATGTAATGATTTTTTTTGTAAAAATAATGAATAATTAGAGCGTTATAACGCGGTTGTGTTTATAATGTTGGTATATGTTAAAACGTTAATATTTAATTTTACTTTAACAATTCATAAAATAATATTTAGGATTTGAGCTTTATATTTAGTTTAAGTATATATAAACATTTTTAGTACGTTTCGACACACATGTGTGCCATCGTCGTTTTAAGAAAAAACACATTTATTGTAATTTTACAAAAGTACTGAGTACAAATCATGATTAAGTTATTTTTAAATATTAAATAGAGTAATATTTAGGTTTGTACGTTTTGGAACACATGTCAAACACTGATGAAGTAAACTTTAAAATTTCAATTTTAAATTTAGAATAACATGTTTTCGAACATTTGTTAGTACGTTTCAACACACATGTGTGTCGTCAACACTTCAAGAAAAAGACTTTTTGTAATTTTAAGTAATAGTAATATGTTAGTAATAGTAAACATAACATAATCAATTAATAAAAAACAAAATTCAAATATTTTTTAGTATTTGTTTACGTTTAAAATATATTTAATTTTAATTTTTGTACGTTTCGACACACATGTGTGTCATTAACATTTAAAAAAAACACTAAAAATATTGTTTTGGTATTTTTAAGTAAGTAGTGAGTATTTAATCTTATATTAGTCATAAATTATTTAAATCATTTTTTATATGATTTTGTTATTTTAAGTAACAGTGGAAACACATCATAAGAAAATTATTTTTAAAATAAATTATTTTATGTTTTTTGTTCGTTTCGACTCATATGCGTGTAATCATTATTTCAAGAAAAACACATTTCGTGTAATTT